TTTAAAATGTGGCTATGAGAAAATTTTGAATTAGCCACGTGGCCCGCATTTGTGGCTTGCTTTCATTTCTACGAGGTGGCGCTTCACCACCATGATCTGCCGTATCCATAGTCCCCCGAGGGTCTCCTGCCAAGGGTTGTCCCACCTTGTCCTGGGAACCTGTTCCTGCGGTGTCAGCTCCAGTGTCACCTTCTGAGAGGTCTGACTTCTCACCCACTCCCTTCTCCATTGGGTGACACGACTGTCACCCTCCGGCTGAATCTTCCACTCCTTCTTAACACCCGAGTGCCCTCACCATCCCCACTCCTCTCTCTGTCCTCCTGCTGGACTGGGAGCTCAAGGACCCATGGACGGGCTTGGTCTGGTCGGCCTCCACATCCTGGCATGCAGCTCAGTGTCTAGCTCTAAGGAAGAGCTTTAACATACTAGTTTGTTTGAATGAATGAATGGATGGAGTGAATTCAGCTTCATTTACACACAGGTATTTCTCTTCCAGACCCACGGCCTCAACCATAACTTCAGAAAGTCTGTGACTTGCTGTGATCAAGAGAGTGAGAGGACTTGGAAGAAATTAACAGGGGAAACTGGAAAGGTTAATGCGGCTCTAAGCCATTGTCATATCTTCTCGTGCATTATCTATCTATCTATCTATCCATCTATTGGAGGTGATTTTTCTTCTTAACGGACACATGCTGCATTCACTGGAAGAGAGTGTATGGGAATCACGGACTGAGATGCTTAATCAGAGCCAGGGAAACAACAGGAGCCTCTGCACAGAAGGAGATCATGGAGGGACTCCGAGGGAGACGATTGCCACAAGGCCCCGTGAGGGCTCTAAGCAACCCTGGGGCTGTTTGTGACACTGCGACATTGTCCACTTGTTACTGCATTTGTGGCTTCAACAATGCCCAGGCGTTCTGGTTTTATTTCATAGATGAGGTTGTGCTTTTTGGCTCCAACACAGAAAGTATGTTTTCTCTTAAAAATAGCTGTGGCAAAAAGTAATACAGGCTACTCTTCAGGAAATGAAGCTTGCAGGAGAAACCAAGGTGTGGAAAAATGAGTAACTACGTGGGAACCGGAGCAACAAAGCAAAGGCCTCCTTCACCCTCAGCACACCCAGACTCACACACACTCATACCCACACACACACACACACACACTCACTCACTGCTGTGGTCTGAATGTTTGTGTCTCCCCAAGATTCACATGTTGGAACCCCAACGCCCAACGTGATGGTGTAAGGAGGTGGGGCCTCTGGGAGGTGATCAGGCCATGAGGGTGGAGCCCTCAAGAGTGGGATTAGTGCTCTGATGAAAGACGTCCCCCAGAGCTCCTTCACCCCTTCTGCCATGAGAGGACACAAGAAGTCTGCAACCCAGAAGAAGGCCCTCACCCAACTGCGCTGGCACCCTGATCTCAGACGTCCAGCCTCCAGAGCTGTGAGAAATAGACGTCTGTTGTTTATAAGCTGCTCAAGCCTTGGTACTCTGTTACAGCGGCCTGAATGGACCAAGATACTCACATGCACGCACTCGCTCACACACATACTCACATATACACACCCACACTCACACTTGCTATTCTTCATACCCACAAAACTCAGACACATTCACACACATATTCACACATACCCTTTGCACTCGCACACACATATACAACACACACGGACATGCACGAACGTTACCCACACGCACACTCACACACACTCGCCCCACGCACAGGAGCTGCACCCATTCAGCACCCAGGCGTTCTCCTCCAGTGTAAACATCCTGCAGAAACGAAAGGTCAGCTCGCACTTCCCCAGCCGCGAGAGAAGCACCCTCTCACTGTGTTCACAGGTCATGGGGTTTTACTCCGGGCTTCCTCTGGGCTGAGCCCTGAAATCCCCTCTCTGCGAGGCGGGGTGTCCCTCTCAGCGGGGTTCCCAGCATGGCTCAAAGTTCCAGCCTTGCTTCCTCTCCCCGGGGAGGCCTGACTCGGGCCCCAGCACCAAGCGCCTGACCTGGCTGCAGCAGGTCCGGCAGTCTGACATTGGAGGAGTTCCTTGTGGCACGGCAGCACCCCGCCAAACTCTCCAGCCTTTGTGAGAGCAGCGTGAGGAGCCCCAGTTGGACGAGTAGGACAGAAGTGGTTCCAAAGAGAAGGGGCGGGAAAGGTTCCCGGTGACAAGCGCCGTGTTCCACCAAATCCTCCCATCAGAAAGCCCTCCACCTCCTAGACCTGTTTCCACGGTTGTCACGAGTGTGGGACTGCGTGCTGGTGAGACTTCCTGGCGCTCTAGAGGTCTGTGCTTCTGTGGTTCTTGGTCCAAAGCAGGTCTGCTCACTCAGTCCCTCTGGTGAGGGTTTCATTCCCACTCCGAGGTGAGAGGCCTATCTGAGGCCGTTGAAGAAGCCCAGGATTTGGCAGGCAAGGACTTGATCTTGCAGGGGCCCTGCAAAACTCACGACTGGATCCGACCTTCCTATGGGGCCTCTCAGGCCAGACAGTCACTGCAGGTTTTGAAGGTGCCCTGTCATGACATCAAGTTGTAGAAGCTTCTAGTATTTACATTTTTTGGTTTCTTGTTCAAGCCAGTTCCAGTCCAAAGCACCCACAATTCTCACTCCACGAAAGGAAAGATTTTCTAACAATAAGAGATGCCCATCATGGCACAGACTGCCCACAAGGTGAACTTCTTCCTGGCCCAGAAGGTCCCAGCAGAGGCATCTGTCTGTCCTGGCTAGAGTGGGAGCAATGTTTATGAGAGGATGGGTGGGCTAGAAGAGAATTAAAGTCCTTTCGAATTCCAAGACGTCACTTTAGACACTAAGCTTTGCGAGGATTAGGGAGAAGATTAAAATGAGAAGCAGAGAAGAATGTGCATTTTTGCTAAGCGTTATCTGTGGGAACGAATGTTTAGTCTAGTTTCAAAGTACCTGGATCCCGCCTCTTCTAAACCCTCTTTGTTACAGAGAGGAGCACACAGACAGAGGACTGGGTGTGTTGCTTTCACTGTTAAGATAACAATTCACAATAACAAGATAACAATGTTAAGATAACCATTATTGTTTATAACAATAAATGGTACAAGATGTAGTACCATTTAACTTGTCCTTGGTGGCCCCAGAGATTTTTCTAGAGATCCCATTGACAGATCCCCCAACGGTCTCATCAGCCACACAGGTACCAGTACCATTGCCCTCATTCTACCAAGAGAAACCTGGAGTAGAGAGGAGTGAAGGGACTAAAACAGCGTAGCTCTTCAGATGACCGTTGAAGATGTTTGGGAGCAGGAATCTTTATGGGAGGAAGAATTTTGGTTTTAACCAGTCACTTACTTGTAAAAATGAAAACCAACAGCCAACAATTGGGCTGGGTTCTCCTATCATATTCACATGTTACGGCTGCTCTAAATGTCTTGCTTTGAGAATTGTCTTGCTGTTAAAAATGGCTGTATTTTAAAACAAATTTTAAGCTGCAGTTTTAGTTTCAAAGTGAAGAGCTTGAGTGTGACTCACGAAGCTATTTATAGTAGTCTTCTCTTACACCAGTTTGTGTGTGTGAGGGAGAGAGAGAGAAAGGAAAAGAGGAAGAGCTCATTTCTTAAAACTGAAGAAGACTGCAGTTATCGAAATCTCTCATGCTAACCCCATCAGAGGACGTTACATTCCCACTCTGACTCTTCTGGTTTCGTGCTCATCAGCTTCATAATTCCAAAACTGTTTGTTTACCCTTAACTGGAAAGTGTGTAGTGAGAGGGCTGTAGGTTTTGGGAAACAAAGAGGGGGGAGGATGGCTCACCTGAACACATCCTCTCACGAGCATGCCGGTGCAAACAGTGTTTTCCTTCAACAAAGGCGAGTCGTGATATCGCACAAAGAGCTGTGGACAGGCTTCTGTCCCGGCTCTGCCTTAGGAGCTGGGACACTTTGGGAAGAACTTCCTCTCTCTGACCCTCAGTTTTCCCACCTGTTAAGTGGGGATCCCTCGTACCCACCTCCCAGGGTTTTCATAAGGATTAAACGAAACGACGTGCCAGCTTTCGGCACTTCGTGAAACCTTCACATCCTGTAACGACATTAGGCCTCACTGTTTGCTGGAAGGCTGCTGGGTTTACTACTGTCTTCCTACTCTTCCTGAGAAAGAGAGGCTTTCTATTCCTATGAGTGTTATTTTCTACTATTATTAGAGTTCTTGGAAAGGAAGGGCAGCTTTCCTTCCACTCTCTCCCTTTTTAATGACTATAGAAAATTAATTCCTAAATATCCACATCTACAGATTCCCATCTCTCTTTTTTTTTCCCTAAAGATTGGCCCTGAGCTAACATCTGTTGCCAATCTTCCTTTTCTTGTTCTTCTCCCCAAAGTCCCCCAGGACATAGTTGTATATTCTAGCTGTAGGTCCTTCTGGTTGTGCCATGTGGGACGCCACCTCAGCACAGCCTGATGATCGGCGCTAGGTCCACGCCCAGGATCCGGACCGGTGAAAAACTGGGCCCCTGAAGCGGAGCATGTGAACTTAACCACTCGGCCACAGGCTGGCCCAGATTGCCATCTTTATTTTCCCAAAAGGTGAATAAGTCAGGTGGCCTGGTCACTGCTGGGCATATTGTACGTAGGAGAGAGAAGGGTGGGCAGAGAGGGGACAAGAGTCAGAAGAGATGGTGTAGTGGGGTCAGAGGTGGACATGCTTGGGACCCTGACCCGATTGAGTTGGAGGAGGAAAAGATACAAGTGTGTCGAGGCAGGAACTCAGGCAGAGCCCCCCCCTCATCTGGCACAAGTAAACGACATTAAGAATCATGAGGATGTGGCTGAGAAAATGAGCTCCAACCAGGTCTCTGAAGCCTCATGTCCAAGCCATGAGGGAAATAAAAGGTCTTTTTCTGGTCTTAAAACTTACTATTCAAATATATAATTCACTTTATATGGCAATTATATCTCAACAAAACCAAAATAAAACAAAGAAGCAAATATATAATTCTCCTGAATTTTAAGTTGGCACTGAAGACTTACCTTCCAGAAAAGAGAAATCCGTTGTCTATTGTAGTCAATGGGCTGTTTCGTGTACCAGACATCTAACATCCCGGTAGGCTCTGTTTTGAAGGGGAAAAAGCATATTTTCATAAAATAAAAAAATATATATACACACACACTCACACACACAATATAAAAACTTGAAAAAGTCAATTGGTTATAAATGATTCTGGGAGAGTAGACTTATAGCATAATTTCAATTTTCTTTGTACCACGATATTTTCCTTTTTCTTTTGTTAAACAATGAACATGGATATCTTTGGCCACAGAAGTCAGAAAAAACAAAGTTACCTTAAAAATTTTTTTTAAATGATGAGGAAATTAGGTTCCTAACTTACTCTTAATGCATGTACTAATAAAATAAAGAAAGTATGTATCGTTATTTCTTTTTCACTGGAATGCAAAAAGAATTCTCAGGAGAAAATTAAAGACATAAATCATATGGGAAACATTTTCCGATCCTGTAAAAATACAAAATACAAATAATAAACTTTGTGTTCATCGCCACTCCTGAACTTTTCATGTTGTGGTATAATTATCGGGTTTTATGATTGTTAGACAATGGTGTACTTGAAAGGAACGCCTCTCTCATTCATCCCAACCGTCCTCACACTGGCACAGTGCTTAGAATGTAAGAGGCTTCCGATGACTCTTTGTTCAGTGATGAATGAGCAAATGGACAAATCAGGCAATATTATCTACTTGATGCTGATGCACAGGCTGAACCCATAGAAGAAATAACCGCCAATCTGTAAGACAATGGTCAAATATGACCTAATTCAATTTGAGAAAGTCAATCAAACATACTTGAAGAGAAATTGAATAATCAGCTCCTGTGTAAGAGTGTCTGCATGTGTGTGTACGCCCTTGTGTCTGTGAGTGGGTGAAGTCGTTTTATTTTTCCCACTATCATATTTATTTTGATTTATAGCCAGGGAGGGAGTCAATGGAAGCAACCCCTGAAATCAGGCTTCAATTGCACCAACCTAACTTGTTTAACAGTCACTTAAAGTGTATTTGAAGTGAGGGTACATTGAGGTTCCTCCTGGAGTAGCAAGTTCCGTTTAACCAGATGGAAGTTTCCAGAAAATTAAGTCCCACATGGATAAGAGAAGACAAGCAGCAAGGAAGAGGAGAAGAGAAAGAGGGAAAGGAAGGGACGTTCTGGGCAGGTCCTGTGTGGGCTCTTTCACAGTTACACCTCACTTCCTCGTCACCCCCGTGATGTGTGCAGCTTAGTGCAGCGGTTAAAGTGTGAGCTCCAGAGCCAGACCATCTACGGACAAACCTCGGCTCTCTGATCTCGAAAAATGTTAACCACATCCTTAAGCCAGTCTCCTCATCTGCCCCATGAGGATCATGATTCTACACATGGCATGGGGCCATTGTGAGAATTTACATGAATAGAAGAGTGTTGACACATGTTGAGCAGCTGGTAAATTTAGTTGTGTTGTCTTCTTCATTTGAAAACTGAAGTGCTGCAAGGTTAACGCACCTGTTCAAGGTCCCAGAACTAATGATGGGAGAAGCCAGGCTTTGAACACAGGTCTGTTTTCTTACGGAGCCCGTGGTCTTCGCCCTGCACCATGCCCCTGCCTGGCTCTGACACGGCTGCTGACTTCTCTATAATACTTCCCTCCCCAGCAGGCGTGCCCCTTATGTGTTCTCTTTTCTTCGTTTGTCACCTCCTCTTCCTGCCTCTCTTGCCCTCTTCTCTTTCTGATTTTTCTGAACATTCATTCTTTTCTTCCCCCCATCTTCCTACCAGTGTAGTGTTTACCTTTCATTGAGGACTCAGCAGTAAGAAACGTATACATAAGACATTCTGAAAATGCTTCCAGTCCTTCAGAATCATGAAGAGTGACCCACGAAGCAAGCCCAGGACCTTTTTCTGCTGTCCAGATGCAAAAAAGAAAAAAAAGCACAGGCAAGAGGAAAGGGGACCTGACATTTATTGACCACCTACTATGTGCCAGGTGATATTCAGACACTTTATGTACATTATCTCTTTTAATCCTCACACCACGCTGAGGTTGCAGGCAGTTGCAGGTGATTACAGCTGTCTTACAGCCAAGGACAAGGAGGCTGACAAAGGTTGAATGATTTACAGAACACTCAGAGCTGGTCAATGGCAAAGCTGAGAGCTGAGCCCAGGTCTTGCGTCTCTAAAGCCGCTGCTCCTCCATTACAGGTCAATGTACTGAGCAAAGATAGGAACGTGCCACAGATGAGATAATCCAGACGTTGTCTACATAATCAGCATCCTGAAACTGGGGTATGCTCAGTGTCAGAGCCAGCTGACTTGGTCCATAGCGCTGTCTTCAGTTAATTAGATATTTGTAAGAATTTTAAAGGGAACACTCCTTGCCTCATTAAAGATCTACAACCTAGTAGATTATTACAGAACTAAGAATCAAATTCTAGAATCACATTCTCTTCAAAGGATAAACTGAAAGTGAATCTGAAATTTTAACGGTGCCCACCTGCAATGTGAGCCTCTGGGAGGGAAATCATTAGCTGAATCTGTACGAGTTTCAAAGTGTAACGTTTCATGACCAGGGGTGTCAAACCACTGCTGCAGAAAGCAATCAAAGGGCTAATATTAGAACCCTTGACATTCAACCAACACAAAGTCACTTAAAGTTCTAACCTCAGTGTTATCTAACAGAAGACAGATACAGCTACTACAGGCAGGTGGAAAAGGAAAGTCAAAGGCCTGTGTGTCCAATGATTACAAAACAAATGGGTACAAATGATTAAAAACACAAATACTGAGAAATGGAAGTCGGCTCTCCTGAGATGAAAGCATCTCCTATGGAAAGGGAAAGATTGTTGGGTTAAAGAGGAGGGAGTCACCAATATGAAAAAAAGATCCTAATTTAAGCAGGAGGTGGACCTAAATGATCTAAATGACCCCAGGGTTCTTTCAACTCGAGAATCCCAAGAGTGCAAGGTTCTGTGAAACAACAGATGTGATAAAGAAATCAGGGCCAAGCCATGCGTTCTACTGAGAGGAGCATCCACATCTGAAGCCAAGGCAGGTGCAGGAACGTGGACAAGAACAGCCGAACTGCCGTGGAGAGAAAGCCCTCCACTGCTTCAGCCCGCAGTGAACAGGAGTATAAAGACCTCCAAGAACATTGAAAATGGAGAATCTAACACAAAGGAAATATGGAAAAGGCCTATCTTGAGAGGTTTCAAGTAGTGGACTAAATGAAACATGCAAAGATTTTTCGGCCCAAATCATGCCGTAAGCAGGACAAGAGAGAGAGAGATGAGTGATTCACCGCCTTGGCTCCTTGAGGTCCACTCTTTGGGGTGTGATACGTTTATCCAAAATCTATTTCCAAACAACACAGTTCAAACAGATCTTACAAACACCTGCTTGATTAAACAAGTTTTTAGTGGTGGGTTCTGCCTTCAGACGTTACCACCTGCTATGCCTCCATGGGAAGTCCCATACAGACTCCCCAACCTCCTCCTCTTTGAGTCATGGTGTTTAACACTGGGTTCACTCTCCCTTGTCAACTCTTTCTTTCTCCTCTGTCACTATTCTTGATGGTCCAGCATCCACATGTGTGTTCCTTCCCAACGGCTGGTGCTGTAGCCCCTCCACCGGCCCATTTCCAATGATCCGTTTCTCTCAACTGATGCCTTTGCATCACACTTCCCTGATCAAAAGGAAGTAGTCAGGCAGGGATTCCCCCATCTTTCCACGATGAAAACTTTCAAACTTCACCGCCAATTCTCTTACACAGCACCCCCGCTGATTATACTGTGGGTGAAGCATCCCTACTTCCATCAAAGTTCAACCCCTCACCCGAGTTCTGCATCCCATCCTCCTGCTTCATCAAGGACCTCTCTCCCACTTTTCCTGCATCATTAATTTCTCCCTCTCTGCCGGGCCCTTATCATCACCTTGCAAATATACTGATTATCTCTGATCCTAAAAACAAAAAAGATAGACAAAGAATTTCTCAATACCACATCCTGTGCCAGCTACTGCCCCGCATCTCTGCTCTTCTTCACAGAACTTCTTGAAGAGTTATGAATTGTCACCGTCTTTATTCCCTTACCTCACATTCACTCTCAACCCATACCAATTGCTATTCTGTCCCCATCACCCTACTGACACTGCTCCTGGTTGGCAGTGAACTCAGTTTTACCAAATCAAATGGTTACTTCTCTGTTCTTATTTCATTGGCCTTAGTGGCAGCATTTGACATAGTTGAATATACTTCCATCAACTTTTTTTTTTTTTTAGAAATATAACTTCTAACCATACAGATCACAAGCGAAGAGTTTGTTTCTTAGTAGAAGCAGGGATGTTTCATCCATCCTGAAATCAATGGAGGCATTGTGTTACACTGCTGATGGGAAGAAAGTGAGTTGCAAAAGATTATGTGTAGTATATAATTTTGATTAAGCTCAAAACAAGCAAAACTAATTATTGTTTAGAGATACATACATTTCTGAAAGCTATGAGAAAAGTATGAGGATGATAAACATACAATCCAGGATGGCAGTTACCTCTGGGGAAGCATGACAAGGGTAAGAATATATTGGTAATTTTATAGTATGTAAGTTGAATGTTGGGTTCGTAAGTGTTCCTTTCATTGTTAGTTTTTGTAAGAAGAAAGTAGCTTAAACTAGGATAATCATAGTGGCAACGGAAGGAATGAACAGATTTTGAACGTGTTTAGGAGAGAGAGTCAATTGCTGATATGGGGGAGTGGGGGAAAAGAAGAATTTAAGGATAATTTCTCAAATTTTGACTTGCGTAACTAGGGAGACAGAGGTGTCATTTACTGGGATAGAAAAGATTGAAACAGAAGTATTTTAGAAAGATTTTGCTTTGAAGAAAAAATAAAAGGTTTTGTTTAGGCTGTGCAGTATTTGGGATGTCTGTTGACATCTAAAATGAAGATATGGAATAGGCAATTAGAATACAAATCTGAAGTTCTGCAGAGAGTCCAGGACTGAAACTCTATCCTCTCCCTCTCTCTGTCTCTGTCTCTCTCTATTTATCTAGTTTTAGAGTCATGGGACTGGACGAGGTCAGCTAGGTAAAGAAGGAATCCTACCCAGTGTAAAGCCATAGGAATTGTGGTTGAGAAGAGAAAAACAGCCAGTAAAAGAGACCAAAAAGAATTGGCCAATAAGATAGAATAAAAACCAGGAACACGTGACTTCACAGAAGTCAAGGGAATCGAGCACTTGAAGGAGGAAACAGCTCCCTTCTCCTGTTGCAACGACCTCGGAGGCCATACGTCCTAGATGGAGGAAGGCCACAGGATTCCCTTTGGACTTTGCATTTTTCTTGGTGTCAGCTCCTTCAGGTATCGTCCCCTAATGTTCTGAGATGGACTAGACGCTCTTGAGTCTGAGGGTCTGACTGGTTCTCATTATGTCCCAGCACCTGGCAGAGCTCCTGACACACACACATTCCTCACAGGCCATCCAGAAGAACACAATTTTTTCATTGGTTTCTGTTTGGAGGGCTTCATGGAAAGCATTTCTTCTTATTGGAGTGATCAGCATCTTGTCAAATAATTGAGCTCAGCATTTATTTCTTCCAGGGTAGGTGTTCAACTTAGGGGAGACCAAAAGAATAATAAAAGAGGGTAGGGACTATTATTGGATCTCAAACATAACATTTTCCTTCTAATGAAAATGTTTGCATGTAAGCCTCTTTAGAAGGGTAAGAACCATCCGTCCCCATTTCCTCAAGCCTTAGGCAAAAGGACACAAGTAGGATTCTTTCAAGTTTGGCTACTTTGGGAGATGGCAAACTATGGCCTGTGAGCCAAATGTGGGCTGCTCCCTGTTTTTGTACAGTCTGTGAACTAATTATGGTTTTTACATTTTTAAATGGTTGAAAACAAATTAAAAGAAGAATTATTCTTAGTGATATGTGAAAATTATATAAAATTCAAATTTCGGTGTCCATAAATAAAGCTTTATGGGAGCACAGTTTTGTCTATGCATTTATATATCATCAACGGCTGCTTGCACACTATAATAGCAAATTTCAGTAGTTGTGACAGATCGTATGGTCTGCAAAGCTGAAAATATTTACTCTCTGGACCTTTACAGAAAATGTTTGCTGACCCCTGAGCTAGGCTGTTAAGAAATGCTTGCTAACCAAGATGGTAAAATAACCTCTAGTATTTAATTTTTCACACTGAAACTTTCTTGGAAATATTTTAAAATTACAAATGGATGAATGAATTGCCTAGCTTCTCCATGTGAGAAGGGGTGGCTGCAGCTGGTAATGCTGCATTTTCTCCCTCTTTGGGGGTCTCTCACCAATCACCCATGCCATCACCACAGTGGTGGAGGGGGACTCCTCCTTTACCACTCTGGCACAAGTATGAGCACGTAACACTTCCCTTATTAACAGTCCACAGTAGAGTTTAACAAGATCAAATGTGTAAATAAGACTTCAGAAAACGGTGAGTGAACAGACAGATACACATGATTGATAACACAGCTCTAAGGAACGCCTCACGCATCTTCATTTTGGAGTCTCCGCCTTGGGGGTTCAAAGTGGTGAAGGAGTGCCTTCCCCAACACCTGGCCTATTCTCAGGCATGGCTGGACACCATACAGCCCAAACTCAACAGTGTTTTCCCACTAGAAGCAAAATATGGCGGCTCGCTCCCCAGGATCAGGCATGCCTTCGATGGATAGGATCGCGGGACTATCCTCCTAAACATGGGAAAGTGGTTTCTTTTACTCCATGTCTTACTTAGTGGTCATTTAAAAGTGTTTTTCATGGAGGACCATGACAAGAGTTGGACTGAATGACATGGGAAAGGGCCACCTGGAGTCAAGGCCCTCATTCTCTGCTGACATGATATAAATAAGTGCGCCCAATCCTCCGGGAGAGGTTATGCTGCTCCTAGTTTTGATTAGCAAAGGCTGCAGAGAAAGATCTCTATCCTGAGACGGTTCACAGTTTTAGAGAGTAACTAAGAAAAGAAAAGCTTACTAGTAATTTTTTTAGATGCCAACTTATGTATGAGTCCAGGTCTAAAGGGTTAAAGGAAGAAGTGTTCACAAAAAATTCACACCTTTAGGTTTCCATCAGTTGGTGTTTCATAAAGAAACTGATGACAGAAACAGTGGTGAGAGGTGAAAACCATGCAGCTCAGAGAAAAGAGAAAAGAGACAGCCCACAGAAAGATCACACACAGAAAAGGGACAGTCAGACGTCGACAGGAAGCCCACGGAGCTGGTAACGGTGGTAACTCAGGAGTACGGGTTTCTCTCTGCATGGCTGTCTGCACCTACTCTGAAGAAGCCAGCTCCCCATTCATAACCATCCACGGGTACAGGAGCATAACAGGGTGCTACACGCATTGTCACGGTGGTGGTTTATTTTCTAGGATATGACAAAGTTACCTTCAGGGGTTTTTAATTCGACAGATAGACACTTAGAGGGAAAAAAAAAGAAAAATCTTTTCACATATCTCTCAGCAGGTCTTTCTCAAATGGGAGGGAGAATGACAAGAATTCACAAGCCCAGAGTTTCCCTACTTTTTATAGTTTAGTCGAACGTGATATAACTTAAAAATGTCCCAGCCTGTTTACTGCCTTGGACTTGGACATAAAATATGGCCCATTTTCAAGAATTTAATCTGTACTATGTATAAACAAAACCTAATCCATGAGGGATTAAAAAAAATACATTACTTTGACTGTGTAATAAAACGATAACAGGAGTAAGTTCTGGATTATAAAAATGACAAGCAGAGAGCAAGTGGCTCAAGATTAACTTAAGAGATTTTTATCCTAAAATAGAGGGAATAAATCGTAATTTGTTGGATGAATTCATTTTTAAATATTTTTTAAAATAGAGAAATGCAATTAATATAAGAAGAAAGGAAGAATATACAATTATTCTACAATTCACATATTAGGTATTATATTTTATTAATAGGCTCTTTAGGTCCTTGAATGTCATTGGGGTATGATTGATAAGTGTCATCAGCCATCAAAAACCATTAGTAGCTCAAAGGAAACGAATGTAACATAATCATGAAGCCAGTTCACATGCACACGGATCCCTAAGTTTCACAAATAAGCATTAAGAGTTTCTCACATGAACACCTCAAACTCTCCAGATAATAAAGCAATGGACTCCATGCCAATAATTTTTCCTCTGAACCAAATTTACACAAATTATGAAAAGTTCTATATCATATCACTAATTGAGTGCTTTTGAAAACTAATATTCAGATGGCTATCTTGTGTCTCCAAGGATTTGTTAATATTGGCATAAAGTTCATATAAGAATTTTTGCTTCAACAAAATATTTGATTACACTTCAATAAAGTTTTCTTCCCAATAATTACCAAAAAGAAAAGTCCGTCAGACTGGAAAATCTATTTGACATCCTTTCATAGCTATGGGCAGTCTGGTGGCGCTCATCTGAGCGGACAGTACTAAAGGCATGAAGAAGTGCAGGGCTGCCAGATTTGGAGGAGAAACGAATGCTGGATGTCAAACTTTTTATTTTAAAATGTTATGTATCCAGAGTCTACCTTTCTTTTAAACTTCTAGTATGGCTTAGAAAGCCATATTAATTTTCGTAGAATCCAAAAGGTAAAATGTATGAAGGTTTAACTATAAAGGAATGGAATTAATTACTGGTTGAGTTTTGCGGAAGAAGAGAGTTACTGAGGTAGTTGTGAAGCAGAAATGAGAGTTATAACTAAACATTACTGGGCACAAGCTTGTAACCAACACGACAATATGTGCAAGCAGGAGTAGCACTTCCTATGTTAAAAATTTCCTAGCAATAGAGACAAATCTCCCTGGACAGTCTCAGTAATTAGTTAACGTCAAAATGAACTTGTTAATTAATGCACTCAGTACCAGTACTGTAAAGACTGTTCCAGGGGAATCACTGTATCTTCCTCTCTCCCCCCTTTTTTCCTCCCATTCCATTCACCTCTTTCTGTTTTTTGACACGTACCTTCTTCCGGTGTTTGTGTTCTCAGTGGTTCACTCCAATTGCTCCAGCTACCTTTAGAAAGATGCAGCTTAGAGGAAATCTGAAATTCATATTCTGTAAAGGGTTTCAGATCCAGCAAGTCATATCTTCCTCTAGCGTTTGTAGCATTAACCTTGAATCAGACAAGATTTTTAAAGGTGTCTATTAATACTAAATTAATGTATAGAACTTTAACATAAAGGTAGGCAACTAGACCAGATAACTCTTTTTATCTTTTCAGATCTGTCATTCAATGAGAAGAAATATCAATGACTGGGCTACTGAATACACATGACATTAATCTGAAACAATAGCTTCTCAAAAAAACAAAGCCCAAATCTCCTAGGACTAAGAACCCATCTACACGGGTTCCAAACAGGATCCTGAAACCAGCTGAAAACTAGTGAAGGTTAAAAATTACCAGTTTTCAAAAAGGCCTGGGAGAAGTTTCTACACTAGAGATTATTTATTTATTTTTTAGGAAGATTAGCTCTGAGCTAACATCTGCTGCCAATCCTCCTCTTTTTGCTGAGGAAGACTGGCTCTGAGCTAACATCCGTGCCCATCTTCCTCTACTTTGTACGTGGGATGCCTACCACAGCATGGTGTGCCAAGCAGTGCCATGTCAGCACCCGGGATCCGGACCGGCGAACCCCCAGCCGCTGAAGTGGAACGTGCAAACTTAACCGCTGTGCCACCAGGCTGGCCTGGTGGGCTAAACATTCTTAAATTCCCCACCTTGCTGGTGTGAGAAGACAGAGATGTGTGCCATGACCCTAAGCACCCTCCCTGTTTGGCCCCCACTCTCAAGACCATTACCATGTTCCAGGACCTGCTGTTACTGGCCCGATATCGGAGTCGATTGAGCAGCGCCAGCCCCTCGTCTCTCCACTGAAGGATACATCTGCTCACGGAAGCGTTCACACATTTGATTCTGATGTCCCACGGAGGAAGAGGCCTCACTAGTGACCAGGACAAACAAAAAAGCATGATTCAGGCTCCGAGACCCAAAATTGCCGTATGTATTAACATGAGATATAGAGTTGAACAAAACTCATTTGTAAGATGCACAACCACCAAATTTGGTGAAATATACAAGAGAGAAGTTCCTGGCTTTTAGAAAGAAGAAAAAGTTTGATTCACTTCTAAATCATTAAAATAATTCCCCTTAATCTACCCTCACTTATACCAAATAAACGACCACCAATATTAGTGATAGATAGTGTCAATTCCTTTTAATTCAATGATTTAAAGAAAAGCAACGTGGCAGCCCTGGGGGTCTCGTGGTTAAGATTCAGGGCTCTCACTGCCGTGGCCTGGGTTCATGTCCCAGTCAGGGAACCACATCACCTGTTGGCTGCCATACTGTGGTGGCTGCATGTTGCTGTGATGCTGAAAGTTGTGCCACCGGGGTTTACAATACCAGCAGAGTCACCCTTGGTGGACAGGTTTCAGCGGAGCTTCCAGACTAAGACAGACTAGGAAAAAGGACCTGGACATCCACTTCCGAAAAAACCCCTATGGATAGCAGCAGAGCATTGTCTGATGAGAGGATGACACAAAAAGACCAGGCAGGGATCCACTCTGCAGTCCACAGGGTCGCTAGGACTCCGAATCCACTTGACGGCACTAACGACAAAATGTGCCAAACCCAATTACGATGCCTAAGAAGGCAGAGACAGCTAGTGATGATCTCCACAGAAGGAGAAGAAATGTTGGTAGGTTCTAGGAAAGGGACATAGGAACAGGGAATAGAAGAAAAGAATGAGAGAGAAAGAAGGTGACTTAGAGATGAAGAGTCAATGTAAAGAGATGGAAGAGAGGATGGAAGGCGGGATGGGGAGAAATGTGATAGGAAAATGTACAGTAAATGCCTATATGCAGACTCACAGTTAGCAGTATGTGTCCAGAGAGGTGCTGTGGGAAGAGAGATGAGAGGCAGAGTGTGAGGCTGGAATTTCAGGCAGGCCAGAAGCCCAGAGTCTACCTGGCATGGTCAGAACTTGGGAATGCCTGCGACTGGCCTTTGATTCAACTGTCAGAAATGTGCTGGGACTGGCTCACTCCACCTCCCAAGCCGATGGGAGGGGTGGAATTAGGTATTCTCAGAGCAAGATGCATTTGTACCTTGATACACTTTACTTATAGTTTGCACCTGGCTGCCCTAGCCCAGCAGGCCCACACGTAGTCTATCTATCTCAGAACATTGGGGCAGCCATGGGGGTAAAAAGACACCGCCACCAAGGAGGCCTGCACTGAGCTTCTCCAATACCCTCAGAGGACCTCGCCTCAGTCAGATGGCATCGCTGGCGGCTGGTGCTTTCCTGAGACTTGAAGCCGGGGCTCTTATTTCTCCAACAGAGAGAACAATGTTGAACATCCCATTTTATACAGCCATCTCTATGTAGCTCTCGGGTCAGAGACTCTTTTACTTGCCTCAAAGTAACATCTGTCCTTTGCCTGTGCCTACTGGCCACTCTCCATCAACCATTGTTCCTTTTGAAACAATCACAGAACATTCAAGTGATTGCTCATGTGCCAATGAATGACACTTACAACGAGTTCAGTAATATGTACCTATGTCCAACCATGTGAACGTGGATGGAAACGAAGAAGCACTCCCAAGACTGTTGATCGCAGTAACCTTGGCTGTGTAACCGGAGTCAGGGGATTCAGGGGTCAGGCTGATCCCCAGGTCCAAACGGTCACAATCATGATCACTACATTGCTTCTGCCAAGTTAAATTTTTTGGTCCATTTAACCTGTAAATAAAAGACAATGGTGTTCAGCAAGATACTTTACGTGCTACTGTCTCCTTTTTAGCACAAAAGAACAAAATGTTCAAATATTTAAAATTCTAGAAATTCTTTATAGTCAGTTTTACTAGGGAATACACTATGGGAATATCTGTATTCTAGGATCATTAATAGGACCATACCTCCCCCCCTCCCTCTTTTTGGTAGGACCGAGATTTTTTTGATGTTCGTATAGATGAATAACCACGCCTATGCTGCCTGAATTCTCAAAACCCTGGCTGACATCTTGGCTCCTTAGAGCAAACAGAATCAGATCCAAAGGATCTGTGGCCCCCTTGGCATTTACAGCAGAGAAGTGCCAGCTCCTAGTACAGATTGGAACCCTGGGCCCCACTTCCTTTCCCCCATCTCCTGCTCACTTAGGCACAGTGCAAACCAGCTGGATCTTTGGATGGGATTATGGAATCAACTCCAAGGAGAAGAATCTCCCAGACTCTCTCTTTTTGTGGACTCTCAGGTTAGGCAAAGGTGCTTTAAAAAGAAACTTCTCCAAGGCTAATGGAAAGCTACCACAAGCAAGAGTCTATTTATATATCATGACGCCAAGAGTCCGCAACTGCAAAAGGGAGAAGGGAGATAATTCAGCCAGTTTAACCCTAGTAGCGCAGGGAAGAATGTCCACAGTGTGGGCCGTGGATGCCCTGAAGAGAACTCTGAGTTAGACCTCAGGCCCAAGACACAAGCTCTCACATCTGACACGTCAGATGAGTGCAGCCGTTTTCAGGGATGAACATCAGAATTCTTTCTAAGTATCCAGTTATCCAGAGGGGTCTATCGCTTTTTCTCTTTGATAAAACTAGAACTGTTAGATATTTCTCAACACCATCTAAGAGATGACCTACACAAAACCTGCAGAAATGCAGTGTCTCACTCACTGTAAAGCATACACCGTATAGAGGTGGGTGTCCCGGCCTCTGTCCCAGATGCAGGTCACGGTCCCACGTTCTCCCTTCTGTACGCAAGATAAGTTTTGAGGCTGTTCTGGAACAACTTTAAAAAGAAAGAGCAAAACCTCATGTTTTAAATAGCACAGAGGTGATATTTCAATCCCATTATCATTCTTTGCCAAGAAGATAACAATACTCCCCCCACATTTCCCATACCCAGCCGAGCGGGAACTATTTTAGATGCCACCAACTTCAAAGTTGCCCCAGAGGCACAAATTTCTTCTAATAACAATAGTAATAATAGTGAATATGGATCAAACTCTTACTAGTTGCCAAGTCCTCTGCTAAGTGTTGAGTGTGTGGTTCTTCTCAATTAGACATCACAATAGCTCCATCAAGTATGTACTATTATTACCGTCATTTTACCAAAGAGGAAACTGAGACTTAGAGGTTGAGTATCTTTCCCAAGGTGACTAAACCATGAAGTGGCAGAAGGGGGCCCCAGCCCAGGTGTGGCCGTCCTGAGGGCAAGGCTTCCCCGCCATATGCCACTATTCTCCCTGACGTGTGAACACCCGGTGCAGCCCTGTTACCCCTGGTGATGGTGAGTTTCCTTTATGAATGAAGCCCATTCAAATATTAGAAACCTTTAAAAATTAGGAGCTTTTTTTCTCCCTTGACGTGAAATTTGCTGCCAAGACACTTCTACCCACTGGCACTAGTCACATCCTTCTGGGCTGTGCCATGTGAATCTGACTTCTGCAGCATCACTGGAGCACCTCATGAACACTCATAAATTAGTTCTCTATGTACGTAGACAATGAGTGCCTTCCAAGGGTGAGGCACAGAGCCTGCTGTGGAAATACAAGAGAGTACAAGGCAGGCATGGCCCCTTCTATCACAAGGTGTGTATTTTTAAAAGAAGCCATTTTGTAGTCAAAGACAGAACCCAAAGCTAGGAGTTTCTCAGATTTAATGGAGGTGAGAGAAAAGACTCTGTTGCCCGGTTATCATATTCCACCCTAATACAGAGCCCCACATGTCCATAGATGTTTCCTTTGGCTGAGATAAAACAAGTACACCACGGAAGTCCTGCGTATTGTCTGCACCAGAAAAAGCTTTAATTGATGGAATAAATGTTTTTTGTCCTTAGCACACACCATAAACCCAGACACAGTAACCACCCACTGTGTGACCTTAGTCAAGTTAATTTCTCAAAACTTCAGTTTCTTCATCTATAAAATGGGTATAACAATATGCAGTTTATATAGTTTTGTTTAATGAAATAACAAACTCTTTCTTTTCCTAGAATAATAGACTCTTCCGTATGTGTACGTATGTGTATGTATATACACACCCATACAAGTATATGTGTATAGACACACTTTGTACATCTGTATACACAGCTACCTAGGAGTAAGCCATGTAAGTTATGTTAACTTTTCATTATTTGTACAACTCTTTGTTTATCTTGGAGTTAGTAATTAACTGTCTTGTTTTTCCATTGTTTAGTTTTCTTCTTATTGATATAATTCCAAATTCTCAAGCCAATTATCTGAATCCCTGTTCAACATAGTTAGGCACACTGAGAATTCTCATAGTTTCATCTGCCTGAAATCCTCTTTCTTAGAGCCTTGCGAACTTTCCAATAAGATGGGTCTGCCTCCCTGCCTGATATGCAGCTGTCATTCTGGAATTGCAAGCTCTCAGTGTCCTAGAAATCCCTTCTTCTTTTTCCTGTGTTGGATCTCCTGTTACTTAGATCCAATGCTTTCTTCTTTCTTGGTTTAATTACTCATGTTGGTGGAGTATATCCTCCAGTCGTTCCCTGGGCAGGGTACAGGGGAGGTAATATTTTAAGCATGGCTAAAAATGTCTTTATTCTACTCTCACACTTAACTGATATTTTGGTTGAGTATAGAACTCTAGGTTGAAAAGAACTTTCCTTCAGGATTCTGAAGGCAATGCCCTGTTGATGTCTCCATTCTAGGTTGCTCCTGAGAAAACTGAAGTCATTCTGATTCTTGAAGTATTGTTTATTTTCCCTCTTCAGAAGATTCTAGAATCTTCTCTTTGTCCCCACTATTCTCAACTTTCACAAAGATGTGCTTAATGAATGTCTGTTTTCCTTAATTCTTATTGATTCTCAAAGCGTTCATGCATTCTGGGAATTTTTGTCTTTTAGTTTGGGAAACATTCTTGAATTACTTCTCTGAAGATTCTCTCCTGTTTTTTTTCTTCCTAAAAATCCCTAGTTTTCATAGTTTGGACTTTCCTCTAATTTTATATTCTATCCTCTGTATTTTAAAACTCTTGGTCTTTTTGCTATACTATGAGGGGAAAACCTCCTCAATTTATATTTCTACCCACGCATTGAGTTTTTCATTTCTGCTTATCATTTTTTGGAGGAGAGCATGTTTTCTATTCTCTGAATATTTCCTTTTCGTGGCATCCTATTTATGTTCTGTACACAATATTTTCTCTTAAATCTCTAAGGGTATCAAGGATAGTTTTTGTTTTTTAACATTTCCTCTCCTTGAATACATCCTATTTCTTCCACTTTGCTTATAAGCTTTGTTCCACGTTTGTTTTGGTTTCTGTCCTTCATGTTAGACCTTTTCCTCAGATCCCTGTATTTTCTGCATATACAGGAGCAGGCACTAAATTACAGATTGGAGCTCTGCGTGTGTGTCACTTGAAGGGCACTTGCTGACTCTAGGTTTCAGCGCAGGGTGATCTGGCTAGGTTTTCTTGGGAACCTCTGTTGTCAGTAATTTTAGATATTTCCTATTGGCCTGGTCAGATTTCCCAGAGAAGATTTTCTAATCTGCCTGGAGGAGGGTACAGGCCTGAATGTAAGTGTTCCTTTAATCCCTCTGTTTGTCAGTGTGGTGCCACCAACCTCAAGGGAACTAGCTGAAACTAGGCCAGAGACCTCAGCTATCCAGCCTCCAGTGCGATGCCAGTGAAGTGGAGCAGGACTGTCCAGCTCCATGGCATTGGGAAGGGGCTCTAAGAATCTGCTTTTGAAATAGATTTTCAATCACATCTCTCATTTTTAGCCCCACTTTTACCCTCACTCTCAGAAGTACATGGTCACGCCAATTTCTGAGTCCTTCTCGGACGGGAGCTTCTGCATTAAATCAGGTTGCATCTTGACTTTTCTCACTGCCAGCTGTCAGTTAAGCCGGTTATCACTGCTCCACCTGCTTTCCAGCTCCCGAAATTTTGTTGCTGCATCTACCCTCCCTTTCTTTTGTCCTTTTGGATTTGTGCCTCTAGAAAACTTTCTTTATTGTATCTTGGCTTTATTTCAGGGGGAATGAAAGTAAATGCATGTGTTCAAACCACCATCTTTACCCTAACCCTTCATAGGGTCTTTTGATGACCGAATGAGATATAAAGTTCCTGGCTCTTCTACATAATGAAAAAATTAGTTCTCCTTCTCACCTTTACTCCTCCAAGTTTACAGAGACTGTCATTTTAAAGATCACAGCTTTTACACACAAATCAAGTCCTCTTTCTCAGTGTGAGTTCCCTGGACCATGAAATTAAAGTATCTACTTCAGCCCAGGACTCGGTTTCGACAGGGACTGTTGGTCCCTGGGGAAACCAGACCTAATTTTCCTCAACACAAATGTATAATAGCTGATGCCAAGGAAAGGGCAGAAATCAAAGCCTCTGAAAATTAAGACACTATTATGAGTATTATGCTTGTTACTGTTTTTAAGAGTCCCACTTATTATGGGAAATAAAAAGTTTTAGAAATATAGCTTTTGGAAACAATCAACAGCCAGGCATATATTGAAAACAATCGAACAAAAATCCATTGTCTTTCATTTATTGCCTTGGTTGTCTCACTAGTTTGTAGATCAACCCTATGAGGTCAAGCAGAGCACTGACTGCTGAGTTACTACACAATTTGGATGAGCCCTGGGCAGCAGAGCAACACCAGCCCAGGAAGGGGCCAAGAAGGAAAGGCTTCAAGGCTGTGGACCCATCCCCAGTTCTGAAGACCCGGCCAACTACATGACCGGCCCTCTCGGGATATGCAATGGCACTATGGACAACCATTTATCACAAAGAAGAAAATGGGCTGCTTACTCCCTCACTAGACAGGATTAAGCTTACTACACTGGGTGAAACCAACATTCATTGTGTCTTTTCTTGGGATGACTAGCCATACTCAGAAAAATGCATCGCTTCCAGTCAGTCCTTCACCTTGAAGGTGCTAAACTTGCTCAAAGAGCAGCCATTTGATGGTGTGGTTACCACTTGAGCATGCTGCATAAGCAACACCCTGCAGCACCCCCCAAAGGAGCTGCCCCGTGACAGACACTCTTCACCATCCCCAAGATCTTCCGAGGCTCAAACTGCCACAAAGGCATCCGCATACGCGGGATGCAAAAGTCAAAAACCAGAAAGGGTTGCAGCACTCTCGTGTATCTGAGCAAAGACAGCAAGTGGAATGGAAGGGCCAAGGACATGTGCAAGGATGCTACTTCCAAGGCTGTTGTGAGCCTCCTACAGAAGAAAATGCCAGCAGCACTGTGGACACCTGCGGCTGACGCTGCAGAGCTAGGAATGTGTGATACGAATGTGTAAATTCGGTCTAGTGAGATGGTGGATTACCTGGGTGAAAGATTCAGGTGTTCCAAGGACAAGGGAGATGAGGAACAATAGTGTTTTTAAAAAAATTTTTCATTTTGTCTACAACCAACATATGTACTTTCTTTTAAGGGAAACCTGCTGAGCTACCCAGAAAGCTGCTCACATGAAGAAAAGAGTAAAACCGAATGGAACTGCAACACTAGCGCTCATCACCTACGTGCCCCCTGTGTGCCTGCTCCTAGGCCAAACACTCAGTGTACAGGTTGTCCTCCGATCACCACACCATCGCATGAGGAAGGTGTTAGCATTTCCATAACACAGACGGAGAAACTGAGGCTCAGAGTATTGAAATTGTCTAAGGGGACACTGCCAGTGGCAGGGCTGGGACTCAAAGCCCATGTTCCTTTTATGACCCCACAGACTCTCAGAGCTGAGAGCACGTGACCCCTAAGCGGTGTGAACAGGAGGCCCTGAGCTGGAAGTGGAGGACCAGACCAGCCTATGCCTCCTGGCCCCCCAGGGATTTGCTTGCTCACTTGCCTGGTGTTCGGCTCAGAGCTGCTGGTGGCCCTCCAGTTGCCTAGCATTGACCATATCCTTCTAGGTCACAGAGAAAAGGTTTCCATCTTTCCTGAAGAGAGTCTCACGGAGCTTTATATCACTGTCTTTACGACAGGGACCCTGTCCTTGCATCTGGGTCAGCCAGCCTGCTGCAGCAAATTCCTCCTACTCTCCTCATGCATCTCATCTGCCACTCTGGAGCTTCCCTGGAACCATGGAGGCGTGGAGTGCAATGGGACCACTCAGGGCCCATGCATGCTCACTGCCTTGCTGGCTGGGTGTTCGAGGCTGCAGAATGCAGGCTACAACCTGCAGGAAGGTGTGTTGCTGGCTCCCCCTGAGGATTGCGGCTCATGCTGCAGATGCCAACTCTGACATTTTGGTTCTTACCCCCAGCAGCTGCCTGGAGGGACCAGGGAGGGGGAGGTTGATACCCTCTGGGTGAACCTTGACCAATGGCAGACAGTTTAATTCTTCTCTCTTCCCCAGCCATTGTATTTCCGTATGTTCTTTCTGGGGATGTTGATAGTGACCAAGCACCCAGCTGCATTTTCTGTAGACACCTTGGCCAGCTCCAGAACGTCACCACCTCGTGTTTGCTTTGCTCTTTTCCTGGCTCACTCCCTCACTCTCTAGAACTCTACAACTCCCCTCCTCCCCCAACGAAGTGTTAGCACATCACTTTTGCCTCAGGCAGTTTTCTAGAAAACCCAGGAAAAGATAATAAGTATGATGATAGTCCTCTTTTAACCTCTGCTAAGTATGATAGGCAGTGGTCAGGAGTGAGTGCGGATGGAAGAAGGATTTTTTTGTGCATTAAGTTAGAGAGGGGAGAAGTGCTCAGCCTTGGGTGGTCAGCCTGGGCTGCAAAAACCAAAAGAGACATCTCTTTCTTGTTTTAGGAGGCTGTCGCTTTGAACAAATTCTCATAAGTCAAGAAGGCATGAAGACTCAGCTACACAGATCCATTTTCCTGCCATTGGAGTCCAAGGACTACAGTAAATGGCCCTATTGGCCCAAAAGAGGAGAGAAAGAGAGAAGAAGAGGAAGAGGAAGAATAAGAAGAAGGAGTAGGAGGAGGAGAAGAGAAGAGAAACTTACCGAATGAGACCCCAATTCTATTGATTTCTGGACTTCTCACATTGAGGTGCTCATGTTGCTTTCAAGATAAAATATATTCATGTGGTGGGAGAGGAAGGAACACTGCCCTATATTTGAATTTCTGTTTAACACATGACAAATACCCAAAGATCACCAATTTTTAGGAATTCAGAATGGAATGCTCACCGCCAACTGAGATCTCTGCCCCACATATTCGAATCTCGTCACTACTGCCACAGGCCAGTTTGCAGACAAACAGAGTTGTACCCAGGGGAAGACCTGTGACTTGAGAACTGAGGGAGCGACCCTGCTGAAAATGGATTCTTCTGTCGAACTTGTAGAGGATTAACTTGTTGCAGCGGGAACATCGCGAGCAGTCTTGTTTGGGCTTCAAAGAGCACGAAATATTGACTGCTGATCCCAGTGAAATTACATGGTTCGGCGTCACGGTCACGTCCCCTCTCTTGCACACGTCTGCAGTAAGACACAACGCAATACTCAGTCGGCACGTGAGTTCCCATTTAAAAATGCAGAGGCGCGTAATTCCTAAAAGCAGGGTAAAATTAACCCCATCGAATCATGGAAATATAAGTAACCTACATTACTCTGGCTGTATTGGCACAAAGAGAGCAGAAGGCAAACATATTGAAGTCTAACTGTATTTGCATTAAAACATGCATCCTTCTCAACACAGTAATTCTATACCCAGAACTACAAGTAGGAAAGTGGAGAGAAAACAGGGTTGGAAGAACATTCAGGAATACAAATTCCAGGAAAAACCAATCTCTCTTATGCAAATTTTTCACCAGATTACTACTCTGGTGCAGTCGGCACCAAGGATGGAAATTAGGTTTTACCGTGCCATATTTTGGTATTCCTTCAAGATGTAAGACCATGGGCTGGATGTACCATCACCCAGTACAGCTAAAATGAAATTACATGAATGTATGCTTTTTAAAAGAGTTCTCCATATTATTTATGATATTCCAGGTACTACATTAAACTCTGATTTAAAAGAGAGGTCCTTGCTACTGTCCAGAAGTTTCTGCGTCAATAAACATGACAACTATTCAGAAATGAACAGTTTTGGATGGTGCTTAGTAACTGCAAAGGAAAGAACCTGAGAATTACAGATTCACCCCGAATTTTTAGATGGATATAAAGCCTCCACCAAAAGTCTTTTTTGGGTAACAGTAAGATTGCTTGAATCAACAACCACAAACAGAAACTGGTAAAGAAGTTATTTAAATCAAATACAGAAAATACTGAAAACTCATTTAAAATAAAAAGTTCTCATTTTTATTTTCATAACTAAAACTAAGTCTCTTTCTCTCTCTTATCTTACTTATATGTTTGTTTTCTGTTTCTTTAATCTTCTTTGATCCTAATGGGCCAGAAAGTCAAAAATAAGCTCCCAATAAAAAAAGCAAAGAGGGACTGGCCCAGTGGTGCAGTGGTTCAGTTCGCACGTTCTGCTTTGGCAGCCCAGGGTTCTCCAGTTCTGATCCCTGGCATGGACCTACACACCACTTGTCAAGCCATGCTGTGGTGGCATCCCACATATAAAGTGGAGGAGGATGGGCACGGATGTTAGCTCAGGGCCAGTCTTCCTCAGCAAAAAGAGGAGGATTGGTGGCAGATGCTAGCTGAGGGCTAATCTTCCTTAAAAAAAAAAAAAAGCAGAGAAAATGCCAGTCATTATTTTTTTAGTGTGGTAGAGCCATTTCTTAGGTTTAAATCTGGAAACAATTGGAAATCACCAGCTTGCATTTTCCAAACCATTCAAGAAAAAGATATTTAGTAAAATAAATAAGTAATAAACAAGCAAACAAACACGTAAAATTGAGCTTACTGAGCGTGCATAGCTGAATTCACCCATGAATACCCTCTGTTAAAATGCAGTGTAACGTGAAACATTCATTCACGATGCCTAGCTCGATCACCTACTCCCTTTCCTAAGAGGAAATGATATGATTATACTCTTACATTAATCATCAGTAAAAATTAAAATACATATCAGTTACAGATAGAGAACCAGACTTCTCTACTCAAACGTGACAGAAGATTGACTATAAAAGATCAACTACCAGAACATCTACCACCAATGCCTTATCTGTAACTGAGAATTTACCACAAATAATTCCACAGACTAGATAACAGAAATACCTTACCTATTTTTGCCTTAACCAACAGCGACATGATGATAAAAATAAGTGCCAACAAGCACCCTCTAACTGTACATGCCATCAACAGTCAACTCTGGAATACGCCTCTGTATTTTTCCTTGTAAAAGAAGACAAATTCATTCATGTTAAATACATTCAGAAAATACCAGAATCAACATCATTGAGAAGGGCTAAAAATGCCCCTTTACTTTTCTCCATATTGTTAAGATTTTGTTTGCTATTTTTTAAAAAACAAAGTATACCTTTACAACTAGTAATTTGAAAATCTTGGCCACCTCTAACCCCCATGTCACTTAAGCTTCTTGGGGTCAGCAAAGGGTGGGAAAAGAGACACAGCCTTGGAGTCCTTTGGAACTCGATTAAATCCTTTGAGAGCAGGGGAAAGGTACTGAACCTTCTGAGCCTCAGTCCCACACAAAATTGTCTTTTCTTCCAAACAGGGCAGCATCGTCATAGTCAAACATAGTCGTGTTAAATCCCCACACTAACAAGAATTTCTGACCTGGCCATGTCCTTCTGGATGTAACAGGAAATCTAAAAATGCCTCATTACCAGCCCCCCCACCCCCTACCCTGGAACTTAGTAAAAGATGATCTCTTACAGTAAGAAATGAATCCTAAGGGTTTGGGGGGTTGTTCGGGTTTTCTACAGAAGTTCAATTTTACTTGTTTGTTTGCGTGTTTATTACTTATTTATTTTACTAAGAATTTTTTTCTTGAATGGTTTGGAAAACGCAAGCTGGTGATTTTCAGTTGTTTCCACATTTAAACTTAAGGAATGGCCCCATCAGTCATTAGCAAATTCTCTAACTTCTATTAAAGGTGGGCCAAAAATTCAGAAAGCAGGCTAGAAAGTTCTGTGACGTCAGGCCACTGGGAACCAGCCAAGGCAAACGTTCGCCTCTTATTCCCATACCTAGAAAAGTGCTAGGTGTATTGGAGAGCCTCAGAAACATTCATCTGTTCATTCAAGTGATAGCTACCCTTCACGTGGCAGGTGCGACGTTAAGTGTTAGAGATACGACAGTCCTGTCCGGGTGGGCTTCTAGGAAAGTGCTCACTTTCTTCTTTGAAGCCTCTGCCTCTAGCCTACTCATCACCCGGCGAAGCCCCAAAAGATGCTGGCATCTCTTCAATAGTCTTTGCTGCTTGCTCTCCCTCCTCCTCCTGACTTTTAACTCTTGGAGGAACTCAGCGCACTCAAGACATTATTCTTCCTCTATTTCTACTCTCTCCTGGGGAATCTCATCTGGTCACCCGGCTCTTAGATATCATCTGCGCTAAAGACTCTCAGATGCATATCTTCAACTCAGACATCTGTCTGGGCGCATCTCCCGCATCCATCTCCTTGGACGTCTAACAGACGGCTCAACGTCAACATATTCTGTTCGAATTTTTGGTTTCCTTCCCCTCCCTGACCACCTAGCCAAAGTGGTCCTGCCCAGCTACTTTCTACTCACTGCCTTATGGCCTTCATGGTACAATCTGTAACTACCTTGTTTATTTACTTGCTTCTTCCCCCAGCCTTTTCTATCTCAGTGAATAACATTTTTATCCCTTAAGTTGCTCAAAAACCTAGACGTCATCCTTGATTCCACCCTCCTTCTCACCCTCTAAACCAAACCATTACTAAGTGTTGTCAATTTTACCTCCAAAATGTGTCACAGATCAGTCTACTGCTTTCCATTTCTCACCCTAGAGAAATTTCCACCATCCTAACCCTAGTCCAAACCACTGTCGTCTTTCCGCCAGATGACTACAGTAGCCCCTTAATGTGTCTCTCCAATCCATCTTTGCCCCTTTCCAAGTCATTTTCACATAGCTGACTACCTTTTAAGATGATATTACCTGCTTAATGCTGTCATTGTTTAAAACCCTTCAACACATCCCCATGGCCATTAGAATAAAACCCAAGGTCCTTACCACACACACTCTCACAGCCCCTGCATGGCCTCCCTTCTCCGTCTTGCCACCATCCTTTGCTCTACTCTTTTGTCTTGCTCACCGTGCTCCATTCACACTGGCTTTCAGCCTGCTCCTTGGACAAGACATGCAATTTACTGCCTGAAGGACTCTGCAATTTTCACTTCCTGTGCTAGAATCCTCTTCCCCTGGTTCTTAGTAGCTGCCTCAGATCCTTCAGATCTCAGATTATGTGTCACTTCCTTAGAGAGCCCCTCCCTGACCACCTAGCCAAAGTGGTCCTGCCCAGCTACTTTCTACTCACTGCCTTACGGCCTTCATGGCACAATCTGTAACTACCTTGTTATTTACTTGATTACTTGTTTGCCATCTATCTTTGTGCTAGAATTTAAGCCACCATGAGAGCAGGAACGTTGACTGTCTTACTCATTGCTGTATGCCAGCACTTAGCATTGGGAAAGAGTACTCAATAAACGTTTATTGAAAGAAAGAAGGGAAGGAGGGAGGAAGGGGGGAAGGATTACGAGCTATAGAAAACCCTCTATAAACATCCCCGTGGTAGGCAGAATAAGGGCTCACAAAGAGGCCCACGCCTTAATCCCCGGGACCTGTGAATATATTATGTTACATGACAAACGGACTTTGGAGATGCAATTAAAGTTAGCGACCTTGAGATGGGGAGATTATCCTGGATTACCCAAATGGGCCCAATCTAATCATGTGATGAACTAGGCAGAATAGTCAGTCAATGAGCTGTGATGTGAGAAGGACTCAACCTGCTGCTGCTGGCTTTGAAGACGGAGGAAGAGGGCCATGAGCCAAGGAGTGTGGTGGCTCTAAAATCTGAGGATGGAGCTCAGTTTACAGAGAATATAAAATGGATTTCTTGGGGGTCTACCGCTCTCTGCCAGCATTCTACGGTCTAGTAACACCGAGCTGCTTATAGTTCCGCTGCACGTCTCCTGTCAATTCATGCTTCTGTGTCTTCGTTCTTGCTATTCTCTTACCTTTCCTCTGTTCTTAGACTGGCTAAGTCTCACTCGTCCTCCCAACTCTGCTCAGACACCTTTTATTCAGTCATTCATTCAATAAATACGGATTAAGCAGTTGCTATGTGCCTGGAGCTTAGGATAGAATGGAGAACAAGACAGACTGGGTTTTGGCTCTCATGGAACCAGCATTCTGGAGTAGGGAGAGAGAAAACAAAGAAATAAATAACAAACAAATTCAGATAATGATAAAAGAAGAACTGAAGAGAGGCTAAGGGGAGGGAGAGCCTCGGGAGGAGAGAAGCCGGTCAGTGAAGGTGTTTCTAATTTTTTTCTTCTTCTTATTTTCTTTTCTTTCATTTTTTTTTTTTTTTTTTTGGAGGAAGATTATCCCTGAGCTAACATCTGCTGGCAATCCCCCTCTTTTTGCTGAAGAAGACTGGCCCTGAGCTAACATCCGTGCCCATCTTCCTCTACTTTATACGTGGGATGCCTGCCACAGCATGGCTTGCTGAGCAGTGCCATGTCCGCACCCGGGATCCAAACAGGTGAACCCCAGGCTGCCGAGAAGAAGAACGTGCGAACTTAACCGCTGCGCCACCAGGCCGGCCCCTGAAGGTGTTTCTAGAAGATGAAGCTTGAGCTGAGATTTATGCAGCTGAGATTTATGAAGCCTCAAGAACAATTTCCCTGACAGAGAGAATGGTGAGTACAAAGTTTGGAGCCAGAGGAATAAGCCTGCTGTGGACAAGGCACAGAAATAAGGTCAGGGAGGCGGGGAAAGTGACTGTGGGGAGAATGGCCTGGGATCAGATTGGAGAAGGCAGGCCCCAGATTTACCACGGGCTTGTCTGCCATGGAAGGGAGCCTGGATTTTACTCCCAAAGCTATGAGAAACCAGTTTAATTAGAGATTTAATTTATTTAACAGAGTTTTAATTGGTGTGTTACAAGATAAGAATTACATTAAACACACACGTGCAAAAAAACAAAAAATAAACAAACAAAAGACTTAGCCTTGGCCCCGTGTATGGGGTCCAGAGTGGAAGCAAGCAGACCGGTTAGGAAGCAATTGCAGGGACCCACGTAAGAAATGATGGTGATGTGGACCACAGCTATAGCAGTAGAGACGGAAAGAAGCAATGAGGTCTTGGGAAGCTTTACCTATGTCTTCAGGTCAGACTGAAACCTCCTACCATAGCCATGTGCCGTATAACGACGTTTCACTCAACAGTGGACCGCATATATGACGATTAGTACCTGACAGCCCAGGTGTGTAGGAGGCTACACCACTTAGGTTTGTATAAGTACATTCTATGATGTCCACAAACGACAAAATGGCCTGACGATGCATTTCTCAGAACATATCCCCATCATTAAGCAACGCATGACTGTACTATCTTCATAGCATCCTGGCGTTCTCCTGTTTAAGCACCTGCCATATTGAATGGAACAAATTTGTTTAGGTGTCTGCCTGTCTCTTCCATTATCTTTCCAGCTCCTCACAGGCAGAGGCCACAATTTGAAGATAACTAAATGAACAGATATATATGGATTAAAGAGAACCTATTTAATCGCTTCCTGACTGCAAAGGGTATCTACAGGGTATCTTTCACTTTGTGCATTGCAATTCATGAAGCCATAGCATTCTCCAAATAGTCAAATATTCAATAGTCAAATATTCAATTGGTTATTATAAGAATTTTAAAAATGTATATATATGAAATATGCATATGTACAATATATATACCCAACCTATATATGAAATAGGCAAAGCAGAGGACAAATTCAAGTTTATACAGTACATGGATCCAAACACAAACTTGATCAATTTCTCTGAATACCAGGTAAAACAGCTTCTCCATTTATAAGAAACTCAGACCCCAAAGACCTTCAAGTAAATGAGGTATCTTCCAATAAAATGAAACCTTCTATCAACAGTAAACATCCTTCATGCAGCCTGCCTGGAGGGTCAATATTAAAACTACAACTCTCTCTTGAATCAGAAAAACAAAGTGTGCTATGTCATTGACTCATCACTCAAGTGTGACAGTTTCCAGACAGTGAAAACAATGTTTCAATGAGGGGGGGTGGGGACCTTGAGAAATACAGCAACTGGCAGAAGGGCAGAGGTAACAGTTACCCCCCAGTGAGTCTCTTTCCCCCATTTATCCAGGAAGAAGTGCAAAATATGCAGCCACTTCAAAATCACATTTTACTAGGCTAGGAAAAACCCTTACCACAGGTGACAGTTTCATGAAGGCAGGAATACTTTCTACTTCCACACTACTTCTCTCTGTACCACCACACGAGCTTCAAAGGGTAGCTAGGTACTGGGGAGAAGAAAAAGGCTCGTGAGCTCCGTTCCACGGTGTGCTATTAACTGTAAAAGCCATTTCCTCATTCCTACAGTGGGTACAGTAATGCCTACCTAGACAAAGTTATGGGGAAGACTAAGATGATAGGGTCATGGACCCATGAGAATACCTAGCACAAAGCAGGCACTCCACTGAGGCTGGCTCCTGTCTTCCCATCTGGGCCCTGCTTCTGCATTTCTTTTCTAAATCACCTATGACCTTCAATGTACTGAAATTGAATGTTTTGTTAGACTAGGTAAAAAATCCTATGTTAGGCAATTTTTACTCTTAACCCTGGCTGTCCTAGAATTTAATAAGTTAGAGGAGGAAGAAACCTCAAAGGTTAGCTAGTAACTAGCATGCCCCTGCACTCCCTCCCCCGCCCAACGGCAGACATTTGAGTCTGGGCCGCTGCAGAACAACCAAGTGATTGTTCTGAACGCTCATCAAATGACACTGTTAATTACCCAGTTGACTCAAGGAGGCAGGACACAAAATCCTTCCCTTCTGCAGGCAAAGCGACTTCCAGACATGCCTTACTGGGGGCAGATCAGCATAAAGACAACGCTGCGGAGGTCATCTATTCTAGCTTTGCAGTTGTACAGATAGATAAACTAAGGCCTAGAGAAAAGAGGGCACTTGTCAAAGGTCACATTAAATAGCAGAATCCAGATCAGAACATAGGTCTTGGAGTAGGTCTCCGATTTCTTTTTTTTTTTTTTTTTTCCTGCTTTACATAGTTGTACATAGTTGTATATCTTAGTTGCAGGTCTTTCTAGTTATGGGATGTGGGACGCTGCCTCAAAGTGGCCTGACAAGCAGTGCCATGTCCGTGCCCAGGATCCGAACCCTGGGCCGCCGCAGCGGAGTGCGCGAACTTAACCACTTAGCCACAGAGCCAGCCCCAAGGTCTCCGATTTCTAATCCAACACACTTCTAGCATATGAGACTGCTTCTGATCAGTAGCAACACTGTACTAAAAACAATGCTAATGTTAACACGACAGTTAATACTGATGCTACAGCTTGCTGATCTCTTACTATGTTCCAGGCACCATGCACGTTACATACAATCTTTCTGAAATCCACCTAGGAAAGCACTTATAATTTCCAGAAGCCTGAATCATTATTTCTGATACCTACCTCCCTCAAAAGAGGATGAAACAACAAAACCCAGTGCAGACACAATATGTAACCATCTCTAATGATCTAGTCCACTATAAGCATGGAAAAGGGAAATCAGAACCAAGTGGCTAACTTGCAACTTAGCCATTGGAGCTAATTTTCTCTTGCCCTGACTTTTTGTGAGCTTTGTCAGGAAAAGAACTGTCCTGACTGGAGCTTTCTCTCCTTTTTCCTTCTGAATCTACCACTTGGTGAAAAACCTAACAAGCCATAACAAGGACAAATGCTGACCTGCCAGGCCCCAAACATCAAATCAGCCCCTTCATAATGGCATGTTCAGTGGCTTGAAGGGGAGGGAAAGAAACACCACATCAATATTCTCTGATTTTTCTTCTCTCTACCCAACAGTCCCAACACCCGCACAGGAGCCAAATTGGACACCCACCTGCTCTTCCTTCTTAGGCAGCTGCTGAGTCTCTCCTGAATTCTCTCTCTTCTCACTGTAAGCATTTGGAGTCCTAATTTTACCCATGTACAGGAGCTTGCTTTTCTTGCTCAAATTCAGGAGACTTCTGAACTTTTGGTCCTGTTTATTTTCTTGTTTTTAAATCTCAGTCAGACTGTTTTCTCCTTCTCCCCTTTATGACTTTATTATTTTCCTTAACAAAGGTCCCCTTAGACTTTTCTCTCTTTTCTGTTTTTCTGGAATGTTCTTTCTGTCAATTCTATTTGTCTTTACTTCCATTTCAAATATATCACACAAGACAAAATAGATGGGCTCCTGAAATGTTGTGGGTAAACAAATTACATCTAAAATGCATTAGGGAACCTTATCTGGCCCCAACCCCTGAAGCATTTGTCCTGTGAACTGTCTTACAAATGGAACAAGCATTCCCACAATAGAACAATAAAAAAGAAATAAGGGAAGAAGAACTGAGACACGGATGGAGTCTTGAAGACACAAGGTACTTTCAAATCAACTGATGTTACTTGCTACACTTCCTCTTTTCTTTCTTTGATGAGCTCCAGAAGCCTACAAATTTCATGGCACTTGTTCAGCTGAGTTTCAACAATCCAAGCTTCTCTATTTTCACCCTCTGCATCCTTCTAGAACTACAAATAAAATAAGCCATCTTCTGGCTATAATCACTAAGACTAAAAACAGTAAATGTTGGAGAGGGTGTGGAGAGAAGGGAACCCTCATACACTGCTGGTGGGAATGCAAACTGGTGCCACCACTGTAGGAAACAGTATAGAGATTCCTCAAAAAACTAAAAATAGAGCTACCATATGACCCAGCTATCCTACCACTGGGTATCTACCCAAACAACTGGAAATCAACAATCCAAAGTAAGATATGCACCCCTATGTTCATTGCAGCACTATTCGCAATAGCCAAGACAAGGAAGCAATCCAAGTGCCCATTGACTAATGATTGGATAAAGAAGATGTGGTATATATATACAATGGAATACTACTCAGCCAGGAAAAAGATAAATTCATCCCATTTGCAACAACATGAAAAGACCTGGAGGGAATTATGCTTAGTGAAGTAAGCCAGACCGAGAAAGACAAACACTAGATGATTTCACTCATATGCGGCATATAAACAAGCACATGGACAAAGAAAACAGTTCAGTGGTTACCAGGTGGGGAGTGGGCACAGGGGTGAAGGGGAGCACCTATGTGGTGACAGACAAGAAATAATGTACAACTGAAATTTCATAATGATGTAAACTATTATGAACTCAAATTAAAAAAAAAAATAAGCCATCTTCTGTTGGGAAGGACGATGTACTGGAGAGAGCATGGTGTTTGGGTCCAGAGGACCTGGGTACCATCCTGGTTCCTCCACTTCTATCTGTGTCACCA